GTGATAGCTCTGTCCCAAATTAGGGTGGTGGCTGACCACCATCACCACTGTGGGCACATCCAGGACTTTGCAAATGGCTCACTGGGAAAGCACCCGGTGGCAGGGGAATAGTCCCAGTGACAGGACAGGAGGTCCCTTCTAGAATCACAGAACATCCTGAGTTGGAAGAGACCCACAAGGATCATCGAAGTTCAACTCCTGGCCCTAAAAACGACAGCAGTCCCACCATGCGCCTGAGAGCTTTGTCCGAACATTCCTTGATCTCTGTCAGCCTTGGGGCAGTGATCTTGGAGCCCCCCCACTCTCCAGCTCACCTCTGTGCATCCCCCACAGGTCGGCTGGTTTCCCTCGACGTACGTGGAAGAGGAGGGGGTGCAGTGACTGCGGGGATGTTTGGTGGAAGTCGTCGAGCGCCCAGAGCCGCTGCAGCCCGAGCACGCCTGTCCCGACGCCCGCGGCTCCCCGTGAGACGCGGCCGGACACCTCCCAGGAGCCTCCCAGGACTGCTCTCGCAGCCTCCTCAGCAATCCTTCCTCTGTACAGTGTGTGTGCACATGTCGGGGCCGCCCCGGCCCCGCTCCTGTTCCGTGTATAGAAGATTGATGGTCCGTCGGATAACGTTGGTGTAGCAGCTGCGGAAGAGTCCCGGGAGAGCTGCGCTCCCCCTGCATGGACAGAGCTGAGAGACTCTGGGGGGTCTGCACCTCTCTTTTAAAGGTGTTTTAAAAGCCACCGTGGTGATGGTGGTGGGAGGGTGAGGCTGAAGGTTTGTGCCTGGGTGTGCCGGGGTGAGAATCTGGGGGTTTCTAAGGGGAGGGAGAGATCCAGCCCCGAGGAGGCAATGCAGACCCCCTGCCCACACCACTCGGGTGGGCTCCCCAGGTCAGAATTTTGGCAGTGTCCCTGGCAGGGGGCAGGGTGAGGAGCAGAGCAGAGACACACAGAGGAGAGGACTGTTGCTTGACTCTGAAGGGATGTCAGCTGTGAAACCATTTTGACCATCAGACATGGGCTGGAAGTGGATCTTCGAATCAGACAGGAGGGGAAGGAGCTGCTTTGGCATCCCCAAGCCTGTTTTCTTTTCAACCACCTCAGTCCCAGCAGCCTTGCTGCAGGTGGAGGGGGCTGCCCAGGGAACAGACTGGTCCCACTGGTGAGAGCAGGAGGTCTCAGCGTGTTGCAGGACTGGAGATGTGCTTTGCCACACAAGGGCTTTGGAGGCCACCAAGACACCAGATACATGCAGAGGAGCGTGTGTCCCTGGGTCTGTCCTCCTCTCCCTCTCAGCAGGACCCCCCCCAGCCAGGCTGATTTTTCTTGCAGCCATGACCATGTCCCACCTTGCTGAGCTCAGGGCCAACCCACCAGAGTAAGGGCTATGGTATCAACTCCTGATTCCTCTCCCTGAGTTGTGAAAGCATCTCTTCTTCCCAGCTGTGTGCACTTTTGGGGGCTGTGAGCATTGCCCCCTCTCTTCCTCCCACAGGCTGTTACTGCTGCTGCTGTCAAGTAAAGGTCCGCCTGTTTTGACATTCCCGCTGTGTCCTGAGCACCATCTGTCCAAGCCTGTTCTTCCCAAAGTCTGGAGTTGCCGGCTGGAAATTCCAGCCCTTGTCTGCTGCTGGGGACTGGCTTCACTCTTTGGCTCCAGAATTCCCTTCCAAAGGACAAATACGTGTGTGGGAGTGTGACAGGGAACAACTTTCCTGTATCTGAGCCCCAGGAGCTGCCCTTCAGCTTCCCTCAATACGTAGCATTTTGAGCTGGTGCTTCCATGCTCTGACGTTGTTCCCCTGGGACTCGTGGTGGAACTGCTGTGTTCCCAGTGTGGGGTCTTGGCATTGTGCTGGTGCAGGTCTGGGAGATGCCAGCATTGGGTGGGTGAGCAGTGCTGATGCCCTTGGTCCCTGGCACAGGGGTACCCTGTGCAGCATCCAGATGTAGCAGCAGTGCCATGCTCAGGATAAGAAATAGAAGTTTGGGACTCTTAAGGACAAGGGAATGATGTTAACTTGGGAATTACAAGCTTTTGCTCAGTGACAAGCCCAGAGTCACCCTATTTTGCTCCCCATTCCTCCAGGAGCTCTGTGAGTGCCCCCAATCAGGGTGCCTCAGGGGGAGTGGGGTGGGTTCAGCAGAGTGTGGCTGGGGCAGATGCCCACCATGGGTCTTGCTTGGTGAGGTGATGGGAACGTGAGGGGGCTCAGGGCTTTCCCAAGGTACTGTTTGGTGCTAACCCCTCCCAGCCCCTTGGTGCTCAGCTTAGAGGAGAGCTGGCAGTGCCCTGCTCCTGTGCAGAGCAGAGGGCCCTGTTCCCATTCTGGGAGCCGTGTTGGAGCTGAGGATGCATTTGGGTGGATGGGACACACACACACACGTGACAAACGATGGCTCATATTATGCCTCAGATCCTAAAGCCTTACAGACCCTCCCTTTAACATGGCCAATTTTGTAAGGTGGGGAGGTCATCCCCTCTGGGAGAGCATGTACCTGTCACGGGGACCAGGACACCCCTGTTCCTCATGCCCCAAAGGGATCCCCAACCTCTGCCTGTGCTGCCCTCCCAGCCCTGCCAAACCCCCTCCCCTCCAGGGAACCCTCCCTCTTGTGTTTACTGGTGTAAGAAACTTGTTAAAAAAGATTGTTTTGTTTGTAAGTAATTATTCAGCCATTTGCCACAAATATATCTGTGAATAAGAAAGGGAAATGTTTTTTTATGATGGCGAGAAAATTGTATATATATTTTAGTTCATCGCAGACCATTCGAAATTGCAATGGGATACGTTGGAAAATAATATGTAAATTCCTTGGGTTTTTCCTTTGCACTGCACTAACTGGGGTAGGGTGGAGGGGGTTTAAAGATAAAACTGTTTATGAAATAGTTTATAGCTGGGAATTTGGAAATAATTTGGAATAGCTTGTAATGCTGGAATAGGAACTTTAGCTGCTACTTAGAAATCCTTTTGCATGTGGTTTTTCCAGACCTTTTTAAGTTACAATACATCAAAGTAAATTCCACAGCGAAAAAAATAAAGTGTAATTTTGCTGATAGGTTGGTTTTTTTTTTTTCCAGCCATGGTTTTTGCTGTCCCAGAGGGCTGGGATCATGTCGGGGTCCTTGTCACTCAAGCCCCCTTGGCTGTGCTGGGGCTGGAGGGTGGCTTTGGCCCATCCAGGAAAGGCAGGTGCTTATGGGGATGGATCCTTCCTGATTCCTGATGTGAACAGTAAGGGTTCATACCCATCCAAAACTCTGAGTAGATCCCTCCTGCATTGCCTGTCAGGTTCTTTCACCTCATTCCTGGAGCAGCTGCCGCTCAGACAGTTGTCCTGTGCTCCATCCAGGCACCTTTCCTGGGGCTTCTCTCCTTGCCTGAGCTGAACCCCTGCAGGATGAGAGAAGGAGGACGATTTTCCATGACTTTAAATCACTCCTGAATATCGTATTCCAGAATCCCACTTGGCCCTGCAGGTAGCAGCATATTCCAGAGCAGTAAAAGAGGTTACACAGTTGCTTATAAAATATATGAGGCATTGCTGGAGGTTTCACGGAGAGCTGTCTGTGAGCTCAGTCCCTGTGAGCTGCCAGGTCCTTTAATTAAGAACATTAATTTTTTTCTGCTCTTGGGAGTCCCCAGTGCTTCACTTTTCCCAGGGTCAGCTGGAAGGGGAAAGAGTGGATGTGTTTTACATGGAGAAGCAGGACGTGAGCTGGGCACTAACTTTTGGATGCTGTTTTGGGAAGATGCTGCTCAGCCAGGTATTTAACCTTGGTCCAGGTGATGACCCTGCCTGGGATCACCTCCTTCCCTGCTGTTGCTGTTCAGTCTAAGGGAAGCTCTCCAACACACACCGTGTGTGAAATACCAGGTTTTGGTACCTGGGTGCTCTTCTGATGGTGATGAACATCAGCCTGGCCCTGAGTGGGTCTGGCATCGCCATCAGGTGGCCACAGCACACCAGAGCCTGGAACCAAGAGCTGGTAAATGCAAAAATCTTCGTCCATTTGACGTCCTACCTCTGCCCTGCCAGCCCAGGGGCTGGGGGTATTTAACCCTTGAGTGGTTGGAGCTGGCAGGTGGGTGTCTTGACAGTGGCTTCCCTCGGCTTCGTGCCAAACCTTCCCCTGGGGTCTGCACCTGTGCAAGGTCTGATGCCTCAGGAATAAAAGGGGCATTTGTCCACCATGCCCAGCCATGGCCAGGTGCAGTAACCAGACCAGGAGCAGCATTCCAGGGGCATTGGCAGGAGAATAAATCTCCATCCGTGACCAGCACAGCTGGCTCCAGCCCTGCACAGTCCCTGGCCTGCCCCAGGAGGGGGGATGAACCAGGCACAGGGTTTTATTTATTATGATTTCCCCCCCAGCAAGAGCAGCTGCTGCCATAATCCCCCCCATCAGCCAGGCTGCCCAGCTCTGAGCAAACACGGCAGGGGGGTGGTTGCTTTGCTGGCTGCCCTCTGTGAACGGCAGGTCCTGCTCCTGCTGCAGGGTGACAGCCACCCGTGGTGGCCCTGGGGCTGGCCCTCTAGCACGCCTCGTGGCCACGGTGACCCATGACCAGCCCGTGTGTGGCCACCTCCCTCTGCCATGGCTGGGGGTGATCTCACGTGCCACCCAGGCCAGTGGATCCCAAAACAAGGGGCTGAACCGCAGTGCAGGCAGGATGGGGAAACTGAGGCAGGGGGTTGCCAAGAGGAGAGCTTGGAAAAGCTCTGCCTGGCAGGACTGTGTGGGATCCAGCTGCTTTTGGCTTGGGGTCATGTCCTGGTAATGCTTTCTTAAGCCCGGGTTCAGGCTGTGGTGCAGAGGTGAGTGCACAGCTCTGCCCGTGCAGCTCCCACAGGGATGAGGATGAGGATGGCTCAGGCACTGCTGACCGTGGCTCCACAGCACGCCTGGCTGGCTCATCCCTGCATTAGCCACGTTTTCTGTGACCTAGAAAACTCCAGCTGGCGCACACGAACCACTGTGCTCCTTATTTTAGAATTAACCTAAAAACTATAGAGAAAGATTAAACTGGCATAAGCTCCCTCTACACTGGACTGACCATCACAAAAAATAACCAGCCTTGTTCCTTCTCTGGAGTCACATTAGGGCTCCGAGGGGCTGTAGCAGCTGCCACTTTCCCCACTGTCTGTCCTGAGCTTGGTGAAGGGCTCATGCTGCTGAACATAGATTTAGGCTTGTATTGTTCTAGGTCTGGTCTAACCCAAAGGTCGTATTTATAATTAGGACACGCTGATGAAATGGTTCTGGCCTGTCAAACAGAAACACCCCACTGCAAACAGGAGTTTAGACTTGTTTGCAGCTCTGTGGTTATTCTGAGCAATTAGTCCATAAAGAAGTCTGGAGGAATTGGGGCCCTCTTTAAAACTGAGAAACTGGTTTTATTTTGGGGGAAGGAGAGGAATGCTGCTGGAGATTGGCTAATGCTGGAACAAGTGAACCCCTCTGCTCCTATTCAAACCCTTCCCAAACTGGAGGGATTTGGATGCAGGCTGGGTACCCCAGTGTGTTCAACGGGAAGAGCAGAGGTGTGGGATGGGTGGGAGGCAGTGGGGGGCACTTCCTAGGGTCACGTTGCTGCTGGATGGTAAAAGCCCCCCAAACCACCATTCCTGGGCTGCTCAGGAGTCTGTAGGGGTGGGTGATGCTGCCTGAGGGACCACAATGCTTCTGGGACCCTGATCCCTCCCAACCACCAGGCAAACCCCGACTCCACCCCGACTTCTGCTTCTCCGAGATACCAGAATGAGGCCCTTGAGGAGAACTTGTGTATCCTGCCCGAACAAGCCCTAATTCCAGGGGTGAGTCCTGAGCAGGAGGAACAATAAACCTTTGAGCTCTTGGGTCTGGCTTAGGAGACGCGTAAATTAATTTTAATTCTGCTCTTAAAGTGTAGCCGCTGGGAACTGCAGCAGGAGGGTCAGATGGTCCCTTTCCTCGCCGTGTTTGCTCTCTGGCATCCAGCTGACGACTCCAGCCAGCGCCGAGCGAGCCCGGGAGGCTGCGAGTCCCCCTGGCCCCAGCTGGGCTGTTTGTTCTCTGCTGGGCACCGAGCCGGGGAGAAAAGCAGCATTTTCCTCCCTGTTTTGAATTTCTCCTCTCTGCTGGACTCTTTGTCTTGGCTGAGGAGCAGCTGAGCCACGAGAAGGGGTACGAAGGAGCCCCTCTTTCCCTTTCTCCCAGGCTGGCTCTGCTCGCCTCCGGTTGCTGGTTAATATTTTTTGCAGCAGGGGCAGAAGGGACGGAAGAGGAGGAGGAGGAGGAGGAGGAGAGCATCAGAGGAAGGCAGGGGCCCCACGGCCATCGCGGCAGGGAAAACCAGCCCAAGTGAGCCTCACTGGTGAGTGGATCCTGGTGGGAATGTGCCGTGGGCTGTCCGGGAAACTCTTGCAGTGTCACAGGATTTCCGAGTAGGAGTTTGCAGCTTGGCTGGGCTACGGAGGAACTGGGAGGGGATAGTGAGTGTTTTGGAGGCCACGTGGCAGCAAGTTGGAGGTCTCAATGGGGTGATCTCTGGGGCAGCCCCTGGCCATGGCTTGTGTGGGAGTGGGACAGTGCTGGCCTGTGAGACCCCACTGCACGCCCTTTGTGCACCCAAAACCATGTGTCAGGAGTGATTCCTGAGCCATGTCCTCAGCCAGGACCTGCATGCAGGGTCTGCAGGGGTTGCAGGGTATCTGCAGGCAGGATCTGTCCCCGTTTCCACCCCCAGCAGCCATTGCACCGCCCTCTGATAGGGAGCAAACCTGGCACCTTCATTGTGGCCAAACAGCTCCTGAATTCCAGAGGGGAAAAAAAAGGTGGTTTCTGAAGGCGTGAGCAAGCACAGGGTTGATGTGCCTGTGCCCCCTTTTTAAGGGAGGGGGGCACTCCAAAGGTTGTTTGGGAGCTGCACACACGCTCAACTGGGATCCCATTTCCCAGGGGATGTGCCCTAGGGCTCGTTTAGCCCCTGCTCAGTGCCCAGAGATGCTGCTCCACGGAAACGGTGGAGAGTTGAGCAGCCAGGCTGGCTGGGGATCCCCACCCCTGCCAGAGAGATGATTTTGGGATCTGCAGGTGGAGATGTCCTACGTGAGCTGTGCCTTGCGGGCAGCTGCCCCCCGCCTGCCAGCCCCCTGGAGGAGCCCCCGGCCCTTCAGCAGCGCCACGGGGCCCACGGCCAAGAAGAGTGTCCCGTACCAGAAGACCCTGAAGGAGGAAGGCCCCGGGAGTGGGGAGCCCAGCCGGCCCCCGCCATCCTCGGCCGAGGTGGTGGTGGTCGGGGGGGGCAGCCTGGGCTGCCAGACCACCTATCACCTGACCAAGATGGGGGTCACCAACGTCGTGCTGCTGGAGAGGGACCGCCTGACCTCGGGCACCACTTGGCACACGGCTGGTGAGTGGGTGGGCACAGCGCGGGTGCTCCCTGGGGTGGGCACCTGGATGCCCATGATTTGGGATGTGCTGTTGTCCGTGGAGTGAATCCATTTCACAGGCTGCATCTGGATGTGCTGGAGAGTTTGGGCTTTAAATGTGGACAATTTCAGCATTTCTATTTTTCCTTTTCTGTTGAACATCCCCCCAATTTTTTATTTTTTTTTTTTTTAAGATTCACGTGGCCACAGGAAAATGAAACATTTTTTTTTCCACAGGTATTTTTTTTACCTTCTTTAAGCCACTTTTCTTTGGCAGGGAGGAGGACCTATCCAAGCTTTTTCGTGTTTTGTCACTTTTGGGGTCGTCCACTCCTTTTTCCCATTCATTTAATGCCCAAGGAAAACAGAAGCCGATGGTTTGTAGCGCTCCCACGTGTCCACGAGATGGAGCAAGAGCCCCGCAGGGTGACGCGGGACACGCGTGGGATCACGGGGCTCCCTCTGCATTCCCACTCCGGGTGATGGAGGGGTGACGGAGCTCCTGTCCCACCCGTGGACTGTGTGTGTGTCCCCAGGTCTCCTGTGGCAGCTGCGTCCCAGTGATGTGGAGGTGGAGCTGCTGGCGCACACACGGGATGTGGTCAGCCGGGATCTGCCGGCGGAGACGGGGCTGCACACGGG